ATATATATATATATATTCTTTTGGAATTTGGTTTATAAATTTTTCGATTTTTCCAGAAGTTAACAATATTATAAAAACAGAATGTCAGATTAGGAAAAAGCACGTAGGCTTCAAACAGAATTCTTTCGATGTTACCCTTTCAAATATATATATTTCTTGCAAATAACCCTTTTAAATGCCTAAAATTAAAGCGGTAAAGTAGTTTTAAATAGGATTTACAATATCCTATAACTTTAGGCATTAATTAGTCCAATTAAAAATGAAGATTTTCCAAATCTTCGAATGTGATACAAAATTAATGCATTATATTTTCTTCTTAGGCAAAATACCTTAAAACCTCCTAAACTTGACACGAATTATTTACAACCTTAAACTATTCGTGGTCTTAATTACCCTTCTTAACTTGGTCTTTTGAAAGTCATTACCCCCTGGACGTTGATGTGGCAAAGAGTGTGGGTGCACTCGCCTGCCACGTGGATTTTTCCTGTATATGTGTCATTTTTTTGAAAAATAAAATATATTTTTACCCTTTTAAGTATGTTACTTCTTTAACTAATTTTTTTCGAATACAATTTATGATAAAACTTGAATAGAACTACATTATTTAGGCCAATTTTTTTTCTTTGGTTAAAAATAATAAAGTTTTAGTTAATCTCTTTTTGAATTTGACCTGAAAATAAAGATTTATACAATTGAGATAAATAGTCAAGGCATCTAAAAAATACATAGTTTGAAGTTAATTATTTTGGCTATAATTTTTTATAACTCTAAATTATGGGGCTCTAATAATATATTTGTTTTACAGATTTTACTTGAAAAAGTAAAATACACAGTTAAAACCCCCCTCAAAGAAGAATATTTATTTTACTATGTATTTTTACTCAATGACTATTTATTTCAACTGTGTATTTTTACTTTTTCAAGTAAAATCTGTAAAAAAAAATATATTTTTAGAGCACCATAATTTAGAGCTATATAAAAATTATAGCCAAAATAATTAATTTCAAACGATGTATTTCTATAACTTTTTGGATGCCTTGACTAATATTTCAATTGTATAAATCTTTATTTTCAGATCAAATTCAAAAAGAGATTAATTAAAACTTTATTATTTTTAGGCAAATAAAAAAATTTAGCCTAAACAATGTAGTCCCATCCAAAGTTTATCATAAATTGTATTCGAAAATTTTTATCTAATGAAGTGACGTACTTAAAAAGGTAAAAATATATTTTATTCTTAAAAAAAATGCCACATATACATGAAAAATCCACGTGGCAGGCGAGTGCACCCACACTCTTTGCCACATCAGCATCTACGGGGTAATGACTCTCAAAAGGCCAAGTTGAGGGGGGGGGGGGGGGGGATAATTAAGATCACGAATAGTTTAAGGCTGTAGCTAATAATTCATGTCAAGTTTAGGGGGATTTTAAGGTATTTTGCCTTCTTCTTATGCTAAGTCTTTCCTAAATTCTTATTTATTTTGTCTTACTTTGCTATGTGTCTTATTCTTAAGACGTCACTTGGTATAACCATATTGCAAGCTACCCTCCTTTTTATATAATATAAATATATATACTTTTCAAATAAAGAAGAAAACAAGTAAATCTTAGTTTTCCCCAAAGAAACAAATAAAACTAGTAAGTAATAAAATCATCCGAGATCAACCAAAGGTAAAATAGCAAAAGTAATCCTTTAGTTATTGGTAAATTTTAATTTTGATTATTTTAAATATATGGCTAAGCATATTTGACCTTCGACCATCAAAATATGTGTTTTAGTTCCTTTATTGGTAAAGAAGTTTGACTAGTTGCTCTTCCGACCCGGAGTGATATATCCTCAAATATAAAGTTACAGTACAAATTTAACATGACAAATGATGTTATGATGTATAATTCATTGAATTTTGAGGAAGATTCACAAATAGAGAGATCAAAACTCCATATTTTAATTAATTAAATGTGCTTAACCGAATATCATAAGAACCAAATTAGAAAATATCAGTATTCGAAGGCTAATAGTGCAATTTCTCCTAAAACAAAATTTCTGAATTTTTTTTAAGGCGGCAAATATTGAAGGCAGGGCTAAAATAGTAAACTTCGGCGAAGATCAAAAACCCAGGAGTACAGAAATTGTCTCAGCATTCTCTCAAAAAAATCAGACAGAAATCAAATGGCGTTTTTGAAACTGCTCTTTTTCTCCTTCCTATTTCTCAAAATTTTCTTAACAATTTCATCAAATGGAGTTGCTGCTGATCCAGAACCCATTATTGTTGAAGAAAGCGACGTCGTTATTACAAAAGTTTCAGACTCAGATTCATCTATCAGACTCCAACTTGACCAACTCAACTCCAAGATTTCCCTTTTAGGTTTTTTCTGTACTCAATTTTTGTGTATATGCTGTTATATTTCATTTACTCAGCAATTGAACTGAGTTTCTTTTTTAATTTAATGCTCGTCTGTCAGAAATTGGTTCTATCAGGTTGAATTCTTGAAAATTGAACTTATGGAAGTTTGACTATCTATTTACTTGTCAAGGAATTACGGAAGCATATTTATTCTTGTCAAGGAATTCAACACTATATATATGACCGAAAGATTTATTTTTCTCTATTTGGACAGTACAAATTTTCAGCGAAAGGGATTCAATTGAACCGCCTTGCCTCCCTTTGGCTCCGCCCCTCTTTCTATGGATTAAATTTGAGTATAATTCTTCACTTTTTGATTAGGAAATTTTGTATTATGATTTTAGCATTTCATTTTCTCTTTGAAAGACTTAAGAAGTGAAGAATTATTTGTCGCTGTTTGGAACATTTCCTAGAGTAGAAAAGTACTTAGAATTTCCAGTTATATGTGGTTTAGACTTTTTGTGTAGCTCTTGTTGTACACTAAGTTAACTGTCTGTCTTTTTGTAGATAACTGTTTTGCTAGTTGGAAGGTTATTGAGTGATTTCCGTCAATCAACTATACCTCAATCCCAAACTAGTTGGGGTTTGCTATACGGGTCATCTAAATCAAATTCACTCTATTTGACCATTTCATTTCAATACTCAATAATTTGTCTTGTGGAAGCAATTTGGAGTTGTCTGAAAGTAGAGGTTCTTTAAATCTCATACTTGTTCCTACAATGAAATCTTTAAACAAACCAAAAAGCTCCTGGCAAATATTGACCTAATGTAGGTGTAACACCGAGTATTATGGGTAATGTGGAAAGTAAAATTCCTTCTTCTTCACTGTTTTTTCCCCTTATCTTTATAGTTCCCTTCTAATTAACAGCTCAAATTGCTTTTCTTTTCTTTCATGAAAGAGTCCCGCATTGACGAGAGCACTTGTGAACTGAGAAGGAAGGATGAGAGAATCAAGGAGCTGGAGAAGACAATCGACTTTAAATTAGCCAAAATTTGCTTCTTTGCAAAGTGAACTTCAGTTACTTCAGGTTTGGCGGCAGAACTTTTGAAATGAGAGTGGTCATTTTAGTTTCTGACTAAGATAAAGAATTCAGACAGCGATAACTGTGATAGCTAGCAGGGATTTTTCTGTGCTCTGGATTTTGATATTAAAATTCAAATAATGATGTGCAGCGTCCTCATTAACTTGATATATACACATCTTTGCTAGGAAAAAGGATCTTTGAATGCAAACGAGCTGGTTGCTAAGGCTAATGTGCGTGCCATTGAACTCGAGCGCCAGGTTAGTTACGGTTAAGCTGGTTTCTTTGTGCTGGGCTTTGTGAAACTCCAATCTGGTATTCATATTTGATTCATATTTGCGGGGACAATTGTTTTTTTTTTTGTTTTTGTAATACAAAAAGTAACTAACTGGATAATACATTATCATTATACTTAATATTCTGCTGATGTGCAGATAGATGTTCTTAGAAGGGATATAGAAGCAGAAAACAAGAAGAAAGATACTCTGGAAACCAGTACAAATGTAGCGGACGAGAAAATGCAGGAACTGAATCTTAAACTTGAAAGGGTATGCACTGTTTGCTTGAATGCATATTAAGGATCAAGGGGATTTCGTCATTCTAGTTTTTTTGTCCGGTTGATGCTCGTGTTGATTAAGAAGTTTCTGGAGAGAGCTTTGTAAATATCATCCTTTTATGCCATCACTTCCCGAGGAATTGATATCACTTTTTATTTTGTTCATATCTGGGTTTAGCTACAAAGGATAAATGAGGAGCAGAATGCTAGGATCCATAAAACCAAACGCGCTCTTCAAGTGGCAGAGGATAATTAACTATCAAAATCTACCTTGAGTATCATATTTTAGTTCTTTCTGCTTCTTTACTCTTACTTCTTTTCCTTCTCTGTATTTCCTCTTTCTTTTTTCTTTTTCTTTTCCGGTGATACTATTTCCTATTGCGTCAATTAGGATGGGATTTGATATTTTACCACAAGCAAAAGTTGATGGGGCTTAATAAAACTACAGTGTGATGACTCGGAGGAAAAACAATGAATTATTCCCTGTATCACATATCCTCTACTATTTGGAATTTGATTTGGTGTACTATTGTTGTGCGAGCAGGTTAAAGAAGGATGGCTTCCACCTTGGCTTGCTGTTCATCTTGTACACTTTCAGGTGATTAATTGTCTTTTGCGTAGTATACTGGAGTCTCTCTTTTTATCCTTTTTCCTTGACTTATCCTGATTGTGCAGTCAATTGTTACGACTTACTGGAATGAGCAAGGAATACCAGCTTTGGATCGGACCATAGAAAAGGTCTTGTTCTGCTTCTAATTCTTCTAATTAATTAGTTCATTTAGGTCTGCTACTTGTTGTTCTTTATGGTATTCTTGATATATATCTCTTCCGCATTATAGGTGTGAATCTTTTAAACAATGATTTCTTCAGGCCCTGGAGACCAAATCTGAAGTGGTAAAGTTGGTGGTGCCTCATATTCACTCATTTAGAACAGTGAGTGTTCCCTTTGAGTTCCTCTTTTTCACCGAAGGAGGCATTTCTGTTTTGATAGTCCATCTAGTTAGTTCTGTTATCTATTTCGTGGCTGCTGTCACCTTGACTCCGCCTTCTTAATGTCTTCCCTGTATTTGCTTAGCTCTTTGCATCTATCCTCTATGCTTAATGACATATTCACATAGGTTTGGGAGATGATAATCTGTAGTTTAGATTTTATTTGGTTGTTTGTTTCCAATATGGAAATAACTTGTATACTATGTTTTTCTTGTTGTTTCGTTTGAAGAAATGGATCCCAGGTATGAAAGAGCGTTCAGTGGAATTTGCTCGTGATGCCGGACCTCATATACAGAAGCTTAAGACTAAGACAATCGACCTTTCTCACACATCCAAGACGTTTATGGAACTACATATTGTGAAAGCACAGGAGGTCATCTAATCCTATTTTGAGGTATATTTGGTTCTTTAGTCTTTATCATCTTATTTCAGTGATTATGTTCTGCCTGATTTATTCATATCAACCTACTAATTCGGCAGCAAGCTAGGAATTTCACAACCCTTATGTTGACCAAGTTTCACTGGTGATGAAACCTCATATTGACAACGCATGGATTCTCTTGCAACCTTATGGGAAGAAAGTGCATCGCCATTATAGGAAAGTCAAGAAAACCGTCAGTTTATATCACCGCAATTTTCCCTACCTCAGTATCCTGTTGGTGCTGCTTTTCTGTGATGTGCCACCCTTGATTTGCTTTCTTAATCACTTAAGATCTAGAGTGATTCCTGCTCGAACTTCTGATTAGTGATTATTAAACAAACTTACAGTAATTATTACCTCAACGCTGTGAACATGAAAAACATGATTTTTCCTTGTGGAGTTCATGTTGTCTAGGTACATTGTGTTTTTCTCATTTGGACGATGTTCTGTCCCTTCTGAATCCTATGAAGGAAATTGGAAATCTAACTTTTTTTGTGATTCATTTATCTTTGGAAGTATACTTTTGTTCGACCTATCATTTTGATTTTTTTTTGAGGGAAGAAGTAAAAAATTATTTTAAAATGAGAATAATTAAAGTAAAGAGCCAAAAGATAGTGATAATAACAAAAGAGATGATTTTCTGATCATATCTTACATATTCTTTTACTGCTAAAACTTAGTATAGAATCATTCAGGAAATGGTTATATTTGGATAACTAGGACACAAACCATTCGACTAATATCTCTTTGGAATTTTTCTTTGCGAAAGCAAAAATAACATGAATTATTCGCTAGAAGAATCTGTTGATTTTCGTATATTTCTGCAAAAAACAATGAGTTATTCCCTGGTTCACATTTAGGGTGTGTTTGGTATAATGGAAAATGTTTTCCGTGGAAAATGTTTTCCAAGAAAATGTTTTCTTGGAAAACAAGTAGTAATCTTATTCATTTTCCGGTCATTTTCTTGGAAAACAAGTAGTAATCTTATTCATTTTCCGGTGTTTGGTACGCAAATTAAGGAAAATGACTTCTCATGAGTATTCATAAATAATTTAGATATAATAAACATGAAGCCATAAACTTTCAAACCAACCACCTTCCGGACCCACAAATTTCATAAACTTTCGAACCGCTAAACTTTCAAAACCGCGGAATTTCGAACCCGTAAACTTTATAATTTTTAAACCCGTAAACTTCCAAACACATAAACCTCGGAAACTCTAATTTTGAAAATTGTAAAATTTTGAGCCTTTAAACCGATAAATAATAAAATTAAAAATGAAAAATATATTTTAAAATTTTTTCGGGGGAGGGGCAGGGGTGGGGGCGGGGCTGGTGTGTGGTGTTGTGGGGGGGGGGGGCAGTAAAACGAAAAAAAAAAACAGAAATTTAAATTACAAAAAAAAAGTTAAAAAAAATTTTTTTGTGCGGGTGGGGGGGGGGGGGGGGGGTGGGGTGCAGAAAAATGAAAAAACAGAAATTTGAAATTGCAACAAAAAAAATTAAGGTAAAATTTTTTTTTTTTGCGGGGGGGGGGGGGGGGGGGGCGGGGGGGGGGGGGGGGGGGGGGGGGGGGGGGGTTGCAGAAAAAAAATGAAAAAACAGAAATTTGAAAACAGAAAAACTGAAATTTAAAAAAAAAAAATCTTTTTTTGGAGAGGGGGTGGGGTGGGGTGGGTTGGTGAGGGCGAGGAAGGTTGAGAAGGAGCTTTGGAGAGGAAAATAAATTGATAAGGAAAATATTTTCCAAAATATTTAAGCCAACCAAATATGGGAAAATTAGAAAATATTTTCCGGAAAATGTTTTCCTTCGTACTAAACACACCCTTAGTGTTCCTTGTTAAAAAAACCGTTCTTCTTACTATAGTAATGTCTAGATTTGACCCTGAAAAAATAAAATATTTGGAGGAAAGATAAGTGTATTGGTAAAAAGTATACCCGATATGTGGCAAGCACATAAGTCAACACGTGGCAAGCATTTCCTAGTCAACACCAAGTTAACTGAAGCCAACTAGGTTGAAGATCAAAGGCAGAGGATGTCACGATCCAAAATCCCACCAAGTTGTGATGACACCTAACTCAATTCGCTAGGTAAGCCAAACAACAACTAACACAACTCAAATGGAAGATCATCAACAAACAATGAATGAGATAACTAAATCCCATTAAATTTTTTTTACAAAGACTGATAATACAAATCATGAGCCACTAAGATTAAGAATACAACTCTGGCACGAAGAAGTATAACATCTGTTTGAAATTTACATAAACAGAACTATAAGTCCTAAACTACTATGAACAAGTGGTAGCTTGAATCTGATCGCAACTATAACTTCAATGCTGGCCTTCATCATCCACAACAGCTTAGCGCACAAGGTACAGAAGTGTAGTATGAGTACAACCGACCTCATGTGCTCAGCAAGTATCAAGACTAACCTCGGTAAAATAGTAATGAGAGCTCAGATCAAAAGATACTCAATTACTTAATATATACAGCTCACGTATACATACATACATATATATATATATATATATATATATATATATATATGTATGTATATATATATATACATACATACATACATACATATATATATACATACATACATATATATATATATATGTATATATATATATATATATATATATATATATATATATATATATATATATATATAGTAACAATATCGAAATCTAAGTCTAGCGTACAGATAAGGCCATCGGTGTACACAGAGGAAATGTGCACAAGCATTTTGCCAAACAAATAGTTCAGCAATTAGAGAAGATATCTATTTGATATCAAATAACCCGTCAACAATTGCATATAAAGAAGATATGCAATTTCGTACCAGTTTAACAGTTCAACATAATGGGGAGATATGCGCCTAAAATCATTAAATCATCAACAGTTGCATATAAAGAACATATGCGTAAAAGGCATATATACATTCCAGGACTAGAATATAGAGAAAATACACGATAAAAATTATGTATGTTCAAGGAGTTTACATATAGAGAAGATACACAAAATTCAACCATTAATCAATTTTCTACAATCCGCGTGAACTAGAAACCAGTCGGTTTCTAACAACCTGCATGTATGCCATCAAGAGAGAAACATGAGAGGGAGACCCTAGGGGATTTATACTTATCCACACACTGCACGGACAATTCACGTGCCATCAATAATCGTAATCCCACACGGACAACTCACGTGCCATAATTATAACACCGCACGGACGACTCACATGCCATAATCGTAACACCACATGGATAACTTACGTGCCATAATCATGACAACTCAAGTGCGATAATCATAACACCACATAGACAATTCACATGCCATAATTATAACATCATACAGACAACTCACGTGTTGTCAATTCAGTCCATCACACTATATGTATACAATCAATGGATATTAAATTACATACTCATGGACTGATAAAATAGCATGCTCAGGTGTATGCATGTGCGAAATATATAACTACAGCTCAGATTAGGCGGTTACACCACACACAAGGAGTCTCATGTTTGAACAGGGAAATCAAACATATGTATAATCTCTAGCATGATTTTGAAAGTTCACATAATAATACAAACATATAATGCATGATAGCAAGAAACATGGTATCCAAACAAGGCATAATACAACATAAGGACTACTCCAGTTATGAATCATACATAGCACCCGTATATACGCTCGTTAACTTGCATGTACGTCGCTTTTAACACATTTCAGTTAAAGAAATAAGGTCATATCCTAAGGGTTATTTCCTAAAAACAAGATTAGGCAAGATACTTACCTTATCCGGACTAGCCTTCAACCTCAAATGGCGCAAAAACCTCAATCTATCCCTCCAATCACGTAAATTGAAGCCAGTGATCAACCAAAGAAGTCAAACAATGCTATAGGATGCGATCATACTCCAAAAGTTTCGATCTTTGTGTGACGACCCGATAGGTTATTTTGAGTAATAGCCTTAATTTTTGTGTTTTGAGACCTCTCATTGCTTCATTCGATGTTTATTGGTTTGCGTGAGCGGCCCGTGTCGTTTTTCAAAAAGTTTTTACGTAAATTTTTGTAAAAGTAATTTTTGACTTAAAATGAGGTTAGAGTTGACCACGGTCCACGTTTTTGGTAAACTACCCCAGGTTGGTGGTTTGACAATTTTTATGGGCTCGTATGATATTTTTGGACTTGTATGCATGTTTGGTTGGGGTCCCGAGAGACCCGAACGCGTTCCGACGCATTATGTGAAAGAATGTGAAAAATTGAGTTTTAAGTTGAAATCTTGAGTTTTGATGATCGATTCTTATTATTTGATGTTATGTTTATGATTTGAGGTAGAGAGTGAGATTGTATAATGTTATTTCACTTGTTAGAGCCCAAGGGGCTCGGGTGAGTTTCAAATGCATTGCCGACTGATGTTTGAACTGTTGATGCATTGGTCTTGTGCTTCAGGTCTGCAAGTCTCGCAATTGCGTTGACCTGTTTGCAATTGCGAGTCCTGCTTTTGCAAAATTAGACTCGCAAATAACTGGGGGGGGGGGGGGAGGGGGGAGGCTGTTTGCTTCGCAATTGCGAAGATAGCATCAAATGCTTCCTCTGGGCTTTGCTTTTGCGGTTGTTGTGTCGCAAATGTGACTGGAGATTAGTCGGGCAACATTTTTCTAAATGCGAAGGTGTGGTCTCACTTTTGCGACTACTAATGGCTAGACAGTTGTTCGCTTTTGCAAACAGTGGTTCGCGTTTGCGAACATCGCAATTGTGATCAAGCCTACAGCTGGGTAAAATATGTTAAAGTCAGGACTTAGCTCATTTTACACCATTTTTCAACCCTAAACACTTTGGAGGCGATTTTTGAAGAGTATTTTCTTCCCAAATTTATTGGTAAGCAACTTTACTTAGTTTTCAATCAATTTCAATTATTTTTCCATGAATTTTATTATCAAATCCATGAATTCCAAGGTAGAAATTAGGAATTTTGGGTAGAATTTACGAATTTTATAAAATTGAGATTTAGACCTCAAATTGAGGTCAGATTTCAAATAAATTATATATCCGGGCTCGGGGGTGAATGGGTATTCAGACTTTGCTCCGAATCTGAGATTTCGATCAGGTATGACCGGGGTTGACTTTTTTAAAAACTGATCAAAATTGAACCTTTTTCCTTCGCTTGTAGTTTCTAAAGCTTATTTTGGATTGTTTGATTGATAATTGACTAGATTTGGTTGGTTTGCAAGCTGTTTGAAAGGCAAAGTCGTGATTGATTATTGATTTGGTTTGCGGAAAGAGGTAATTATCGTGGTTAACCTTGACTTGAGGGAATTAGGACTTGATTAGTCTATTTGCTACTTGAATTTTATATGTGGGGATGGTGTATGTGAAAGGTTATGAGTGTACATACGTTGTCATGGGTCAAGTATGCATGCTGAGATTTTGACTGTGTATTTTAATTACATCATGCCTTCTTTTACTTTGTGCTACTATTCATAC